ATCTTTTTCATCAGTGTAATGTAGAAATTGCGGTTGGTTAAACGAAATAACTTTCATTAAATTTGAAGATCTTAACAATTCAAATTATGGGTGATATTATTTATAACAAATTATTATTGAATAATAATTTAATATTTAAAAAGAATAATAAACCCTTATTTATTTTTGAAGCAATTATGCTTAAATATTATCGATTATTATATTACATAATGCCAAAAGGCATGACTTGTATTTTCGTCATTATGACATAACAATTGCCTAATGACACGTTGAGGAATTGTTTTGTCTTTTGTTATAAAATTAATTTAATGAGTACTCAAATATTAGTCATATACAATGAGTATTACTAAAACATATAAAAACTTTCAGAGGCTTTGTTGTTCAGAATGAAAAACACTTATTTAAATAAAACAAATTACTTTGTTGCTTTTCATACCAAAGTCTTTGAGTCACACCACAAACCTAATTATCTGGTTATTAACGTTAGACTAACTCAAAGAAGACGTTGTGATCAGATGGTTGTCATAAATTAAAATGATTTTATTTGAGGAAAATAAGTTATAACTCTAGTTAAATACAAAAATTAAAAAATAAAATGATATTCCTCATTGAATTCACCTCTTTTTTCATTTGAGTTAGATTGAAAATGCACTAAAAGTATCCATAAAATTCATTTAATAAAAATCATTAATATTATTTAGAGGTTTGAGAAGTTTATAATAAAATATGAAACAAATTTACAAAAAGATTATATCGGAAGAACATTTGAATAAGGAAAATGAGATGACAATCACAACCAACTCATATTAAAATGAATGAAATATGCTTTCTTCATAACTAAACAACACTCGTTGTTTGATGTTTTTTGTTATTATATTTTGTTTTTGATTTTCATTGTTTTTAGTTTTTCTCAGACACTTTTTCCTAAAATAGAAATTAAAAAATATCTGAAGCAGAAGATGAGCTTTTTTTTTCACTCACAAACATCGATGTTTTGCAAAAAGACAAAAAATCTAAATTAAGAACCATGATTTTTTTAAAAACATATTACAAAATACTAGTAAAAGAACTAACAAAGAGGTAATTGGAAATTCATCAAATACACGATTTTTCCAAAATCTTTCAATGAATTAAGGAAAAGAATAAAATAACCAACCAATCAAAAGAGAGATGCGACAGACACATGAACTTTATAATCAAAAAAAATCAAAATAATTAGAAAAGAAGAATAATGAGCAGATTAATTGAAGATGAAATGTTTGTACCGATTTCAAGTGATAGTATTAATGATATTTCCAATCAAGTTACTTCAGTAAAAGAAACAGTAGATGATGTTCTTGAAGGTGCTAAAAAACAAGGAATTAAAACAATCAAATATATGTCAATTTTACTTTTATTATTTACAGTACATGCTATTGTTGGATATGTCTATTATTATTATGTTAATGAAGATGATTAAGTGAAATAGTCTTTATGGATTTGTCTTAATTCAAAAAGTATTAAGATAAGACTGTATATTATTAATTTATTTCTTTTAATTCACATTTATTTGGAAATTTCATCTGTTATATTTTGGTTTAACTTAAAAGTTATAAAAGTGTCTTAATTATTATGTCCCCATTCATTATTCATATTAAATAAGTTTTTTTCATCACAGAGTTGGTCATGATAAATTTTCATAAAATTTGGAAGAACACAAAACCGTAAGTTTTTTAGTTGACTGAGCATCTTAATTCCAATAGAAGTAATTAAGGTACAACGTGCAAGATTAATAGCTTGTAATTCTTTACATGATGAAATTATTTTCTTTAATCCAGTATTTGTAATTGAAGTATTAAATGATAAATTCAATGCAATAAGTCCTGTAAGAATAGCAATTTTGTCTAGGTCAGTATCATTTAATTTTAAATATGTAACATCAAGAGATTTTAACATTGTTAAATGAGTCAAATTAAGTATAAGTGTATTTGTATATCCAATAGATAATCTTCTCAAATTTGGAAATGAAGGTATTTTTATGATAGAACTTCCAAACAAATCTAAAGACTCTATTTTCTCACAATGATTATAAGCACACAAACATCTATCATCTAATGATTTATTAAATGTTAATGTTAATTTTTTTAAAGGAGGTAAATCAGAAATAAAAGAACCTTCAAGTCCTGTACAATCTGAAATTGTAAGTTGTTCTAAATGAACATTCTTTAGATTTTCTTTTAAAACAGAGTCTGTCAATTCTTCATTATCACTAATTGTTAATTTTTTTAACTTTTTGAAATGGTTAAATTGTTGAATACTTTTTGGTCCAATCTTAGGCATATTAATTAATTCAATCTCCTTAATATATGGAGAGAATTGTTTAACATTCTTAAAACTGAAATAAGGAATTGATGATAATTTGATTGTTTTCAATGATTCTACATGACAAATCAATCCATTGTCTAAAAGTGATGGAAAATCATATAACATTAACTTTTTTAAATTCAATAAATTGTTAATGTTTAGATGAGTAGCATTTGAAAAGAATATTTCAAGATAAGTTAACATTTTTAAATCCATATTAGATAATAAATTACATGACTCTTGTGTCATATGTCTAATAGAAAGTGATTGTAACCATTTTGTTGTATTAAGTATAGAAATAATTGGTGTTGATATTTCATTAATAACAACATTTGAACAATGAGGAAAGATTGAAAAAATTTGTGATTTGGAATAAATTGAACATTGTAATGGAAAATAGTTTAAGAACATTTTCCATTCTCTACATACAAGTCTACAATTTAATAAATCTTTGAGTTCTAAATATTCAAAGACTTTTGTTTGATAAATAAATTTTAAAGGCGAGTTGCCTTTTTTATTCTTGTTACTTCGTTGGCAATTCATATTTCTTTTTATTTCTTATTGCCTCTTATTAATAATTATCTTTTCATCTAAACATGTTATATTTTTATTTGTTCTTTTAATGATAATGTTTGTATCATTATGAATATAAAGTAAATCTTTAAAATTAATTTTGAATGAAAACAATGAAATTAAAAGCTGATTTTTGAATTGATAAATTTTAAAGGATCTTAACGACAATGACAGTCACATTATCTCTACATTCCGTTATTTTCATTGATTCTTCCATAATGACTTTTGGTGCTTCCGAGACTTGAGTGTTTTCCATCATTTCAAATGCCTTTTCTGGTGTAGTTACATCCCAGATACCATCACTACATAAAATAATTTCATCCCCACTTTCTAATACAATAGCTGGACTAATATATGGTGTGCCTATCATTCCTATATTTAAATTTTTTACAAAATGATTAGCTAATGTACGTGCTACTCCAACTCCATTAATTCTTTTTTGTCCTTCAACTAATGTAATTCCTGCTTCTTTCATTCTTTTTTGTTCACATGCTGATGTTACTTTATGATCTTGTGTTAATGTGATGATTTCTGGTCTTCCTTTATTCATCTTTTTAACAAAACATGTTGAATCTCCAACATTTCCACTTCTAATATATACCTTATTATCTTCTTCCCATATATATATTAATGTACATGTACATCCAATATCCATAAACTCTTCTTTATTCATTCCTTCATCAACTTCTGCAAATCCTTTTTCTAATATCTCTTTACTATCTAATCCTTGTTCTATCAATTTTTGAATAATATTTGGTAATGTTCTTCTTGTTTCTCTTGCTGCTCCTATTCCTCCATATCCATCAAAAATTCCAAATATTGATTTCTTTTCATCTCCTCTAAATGACATCCCACAATAATGTTCATCTTCCATTAAATCTTCGTCTGTTAAGAGTCCTTTCTTTTCTGAAAAATAATTTAATCCAACTGGTTTCTTTTTGGCTCTTCTAAGTCCTTCTCTATTACAATCTTCTCCTGATGAATATTCAATATATTTATTCTTCCCTGTTTTTTCAAACTCTTCTAATTCTTTTTCTTTCTTTACTTTTTTCTTTCTTTTTTTCTTTTTCTTTTCTTCTTCTGTTGTGTTTATTTCTTCTTCTCCTGTCTCCGTTGTTTTTTTGTGACTCTTCTTTTTTCTAAGTGCTTTTCTTCCTGTAATCTCTTCTTTGTTATCTTCTTGAGTGGTGTCTGTTTTGATTTCTTCTTTCGTCTCAAGAATTCTTTCTTCTACTTTAGTCTCCTTTGTTCTTATATCTGGTTTATTCAGACTTTCTCCTGTTTCTTCAACTTCTTGTTCTACTTCTTTCTTTATAATTTCTTCGGTTTCTTTTTTCTTTCTTTTTATTACTTTTCTTCCATCTAATGTTTTTCTTTTTATTTCTACTTCTTCTTTTATATCTTCACCTTTTTCATTAATCTTATCTCTTAATTGTAGTGTTGTCAATCCTTTCTCTTCTTTTTTATCTTCTTTTTCTTTAATTTCTTTTTCTTGATTTATTTGTTCCTTTGCAATTACCTCATTTTCTTGTTTTGTAAAACACTCAACTGTAATATCATCTTCAATAACTTCATTTCTAGTTTTTGTTTTTTCTTTCTTCACTTTTTTACTCTTTGTGCCTTTTAATGGTTTTCTTTCACTTAACTTCTTTCTTTTTGGTTTGTCTTCATTTTGTTCTCCAAAATCTTCTTCACCTTGCTCATTAAGATTGACCTCAGTTAGATTAATTTCATTATTCTCTATATTTTCGTGTTTATAATCCTTCTCACTCCATCCTTCAACTTGCTCTTTTATTTTTTCTTGACTTGTTTGTTTTTCTTTTTCTGACCTTTCGTCTTTTTCATCTGTGGGGTGTGTTTTCTTAGACGTATTTGTTTTCTTGGTGCCTTTCTTTTCCTTGAGCACTTTTCGTTTTGGCTGAGGAAAATCTTTTTCCTGTTCATCGTTAATGCCAACCCCAGTTGTTTGAAGACACTCACTGAGTTCTGTTCCCTCAGACATAAGATTAGTGGATTTCAGATTAAAGATTTTCTTTTTCTAACTCATTCAGTCAAAGGGTTTTTTCCCTCTTTTTCAGCCTTATCTTTACAATCAGGATCTGATAATTCTCTTCTATTTTGGAAATATCTTCCTTTTTGTTATGCATATCGAAAACAATACAAATTAATGAAAATATATGGAAATGATGAGAAATTCCCATAACCCAAACTGTGATTTTCAAATGTCAATCCCATCCGAAAGAATAAGTACTCGTCAATACAGCACCTTTTCTCATAGATATATCCAATTAATTAATTTTTACTCTCAAGAACATCCATCACTTGATGTTATGAAATCAATAGATACAAGTGATGTTAGAGTTGAGACTCAACGAGAGATTATTGATGAGGCAGCAAAAAGGTATGAAGAAGTTCCTAGTGAACAAGTATCAAAACTCAGACTAGACGAAATATTTAACAACAAAATTCCAGTTTCATCAGATAGAAAACCAAATACACAACTAACATATCTTGCAGAACAACTCTTTAAAAAACAAATTGTTGTTACTAAAGAAGCAAAAAACTCATTAAAAGAGCCATTGACATTTACATTTTCTTCTTCATTAAAAGAAGGAGATAGTATTATGACTATTAAAGTTTTTGACTTTTCTAAAAAGAATTTTGATTGTTGGATTGAAGTCAAAACAACTAATACTATTAGTGAACTTAGAACTGTTATTCCTTGTCTCACTCAAAAAGGAATTAATGACCCAGATTTTATATTTATTAATGACACATTTTATACATCCCAGAATAATCAAGAACAAGTTATGTATAACTTAGTTGAGTGGAGAGAATATCGAAATTTTCAATACTCAAGATTCCCATCTCATTTTCAGTGTTGTATTGAAGACTTTGAATTAGGTAAAATTAATATTGAAATAGATGAACCATATTTATATGGGCATCTACTGGATTGTGAACATATTTTTATAATTTCAGACATTAGAGTTCCACTACAAGAAGATAAGAATGGTAAATATCCAAGAATTATATTCAGAAAAAGAAAAGAACAACAAAGATGTAATATTTGTGATTCAAGAAAAGCAGAGATTGAAGTGACAGGGGATAGTGCAGGAATATCTGATCCATCATATTATTGTAAAGAATGTTTTTCTTTATTACATAATGATATGGATATAGGATTTGAAAAGAGAGATATTTGATTGGTTCAAATTTTATTAATAAGAATGTAAGAAATATAAAAATTGTTTTATTGTTTTTATTATTTTTTTTTTTAACATAAAATTTGAAAAAAAAGGTTCTAAAGTAGGATCTAGATTATAATAATGAATAGATAATTACGTTTGTAAATACCCTTTCATAAGATTCTATGGTCTTATTATCAAAGGTAGATTATTACTGATAAATTAATAAATAATTTTTATCACAAGATAAATAGAGAAATAAATAAAATTCAAATCACTAATAGATATCTAAAAGACCATTATACTCATTATATAAGAGATTTATAGGATAGTATTTGAAGAGGAAAGAACATATTTTCATTTAACATCTTTTGATAAGAAGATTTAGAAATATAATCATAAAGAAAGTCAATGACAAAGCATAACGTGGAGAACTCAAAAAGTTGAGATGATAAAGAGTAAAAATAGGAAAAAAAAA